CAAATGGCATCACCTTAAATTGCCAGAGTCCCTTCCCAGTTGAGAATGCGGTCTTTTCCTTGTCCTTGGGATCCAAATCCACCTGCCAATAGCCGCTTTTCAGATCGAGCGTTGAAAACCATTTCATGCCACTCAGTGTGTCAAGTGTGTCATCGATTCTTGGTAACGGGTAGCTATCCTTCTTGGTTACATCATTCAATCGTCGATAGTCTACGCAAAACCTCGTTGAACCATCTTTCTTCTTGACAAGCACGACAGGTGAACACCAAGGGCTAGAAGAGGGCTCTATCACGTCATTTTTCCTCATATCGTCAATCATTTCTTCAACTTCTTTCTCACGAGCGAATGGTATACGTCTGGGCCTTTGACGAATTGGCATTGTATCACCTGTGTTTATTTTATGCTTCACCAAACCAGTTCGGCCAATATCACCATCGCTTCTTGAAAACACATCAGAGAATCGAAGAAGTAAATTTCTAGCTTTCATAGTCTCCACTTTTGTCAGACTTTTGTTTTCGTCTAAGATTTTCGTTACTAAGTCTATTCCCGTACTGTCCTTCTTCACAAGATTTTCCGAGCATTTTCTTATCCAGGCCACTTCTTCCAATACGCCCACAGGCTCTCCTTCTTCAATCGTAATTTCTGAATCACTGAAGTTGAATACCGGAATGCGGTTAACATCAGATGACCCCACGACAGTTCTTGCCGGTAGCCATGAATTCACGTGTTCCGATTTATCAATCACAGCGCACCTTCGAGGTAAACTTCCTTCCCTCCTCCTAGGTAATGCGATTGGTACGAGAGTCTGTGATTTTGGTGCAAGAACAGTTCTTCTTAAACAGCAAACTTTTCCCAGGGTTCCACCCTTCATCGGAATTTCCTCAGTTCCACATAGTAATACTCCAGATTTTAAGTCGATGTTACACTGGTGCCCTTGCAGGAAGTCAAGTCCCAGGATGCAGTCATCCAGAATTCTGGCCACAATAACCTCATGTCGATAAACACGTTCCCCAATTTTGATTGTTACATGCAGTTTTCCACTTATCGGTATGCACTGGCCGGTAGCTGATTTCATTTGTAGGCCAACAATTGGTTTAAGGTGTTTCCTGATGTTTTGCTCGAGCAGCCGAACATTTATCACCGTCCTTGAAGCTCCAGTATCTAATGTTAGCTGACTGTTTTTCCCATTTACTTGACCGTCTATCACCAGGGTATTTCCATCGTTAGTTTGCTTGATGTAGATTGTTGGGGTTATTCCACTACCAGCCAGCGCCCACCCCGCAGCCTTGGCTGGATTTAAGTTTCCCTGCTGGTCAGAAGTTGAGACTGCCGCGTCCTTGCGGTTCATCTTCTTCGGGCAGTCGCTCCGTATGTGCCCACGCTCTCCACATCCATAGCACATGAAGTTCCGACGGCGTGGAGGTACCTGCTCCGTTGTCGTCATTTCCCGCAGACGTAAGGTACGGGAGTTGCCACGCACGGCTTCCACTTCCAATGCATGGGCCAGAGCTTCTTTCATGTTCTTGTTATGGCCCAGATGAACAGCAGCTCGTACTTCGGGGTCCCGAATACCGTCAATGAACGCTTGGAGAAGCGTGCCTTCAATCATTGACGGAGTCGACCGGAAAGCTCGACGCACAAGTTTCTCGATTTCCACGGACCATTGCTGTAGACTCTCATTATCACGCTGAGTACGCTCTTTTAATTGCGCTCTGTACACGTGCTCGAGGTGGCTGTCTCCAAAACGTGCCTCAAGTGCGTCGAGGAGGGCACTAAAGCTGAGATCTCCACTTGCGCCGATAGCTTCCAGCACTGAGAGCGCTTGATCACGGAGGGCCAGGGTGAGGGCTGACTGTGCTTCCTTCTGAGTCCAACCATAAGCCTCCATAAGTGTCTCAAACTGTAGCTTGAACGCGGTCCAGGATGTTGTTCCGTCGTAATGGGGAATCTTGAGCCCTTTCGTTGCGCTTGAGGCCACATTTGGGGCGTCAAAAACGGCTGCAAGACGGCTTCGGCTCTTCAAAGGGCTTGGGCTTGTCACTTCCTGCTTGATTTTGGAGATCTCTTCTTTCACTCTCTCCTCTATCGCCATGACGCGATGTTCCAACTTGCCTAACCCTTCCTCCACTTCTTGTACCCGTTCGACAGCCTTTTGCAGTCCCTTCGTGAAATCCTTATGCATCTCTTCCAAGCGACGCGCTTGCTCCTCTTGGCGGCGAGCTTGATCCTCTTGGCGACGAGCTTGATCTTCTTTCAGCTCCCGTAGCTGTTCCGCCTGACAGCGTGCTTGCTCTTCTTGGCGGCGCGCTTGCTCTTCTTGGCGGCGCGCTTGCTCTTCTTTCAGCTCCCGCAGCTGTTCTGCCTGACAGCGCGCTTGCACTTCTTGGCGGCGCGCTTGCTCTTCTTTCAGCTCCCGCAGCTGTTCTGCCTGACAGCGCGCTTGCTCTTCTTGGCGGCGCGCTTGCTCTGCCATCATTTGCTGCAGCTGTAGCAGAAGATCCACCTGCACAGGCTTGGCTTCTGCATCGCTGGTTTGAGCTGCAGCACCCTCTTCCCTCACACGCTGCGCTTCTGACATTGCACGGGTACTCACTCCTCTTACGTCCTGCGGCACTAGCGGCATTTTTCTCCAATCCCACTTCTGACACCAAATGTTACGTGCCTGACGTCACGTTCCTGACTATGCGGGCTTGGGTTACGGGATTGGATGAAATGAAACACTAATACCGGTTTTCAGACTTTCTATTGCACTTAAGTTAAAGCGTCCACGGAGTTAAGTTATCGGCGTTCTTCTCCAGCAGAGTCCGGCCGACTGACACAACTTTGCCGTTCACGCTGACTTAACTCACTTAACTGACTGCACTTCACTATTTCACTGCACTTCACTATTTCACTCACTTTTCTTCTTTTCACTTCTTCCTTTTCTTCCGAATCGCTTTGGACTTAGAACTCAACTGCCAGCGGTGAGCCGCAGTTCCGCTTATATACCCCTGGGGGCGTATTACAACCTTTTTAAAATCCAGTTTGTTTCCTGGCAGGTCAGTTTAAGGCCGTAAACTGCATGGTTCTTTTTCGTATTATGACGTACGTTTTTCTGACTGGATTCATCCTGAATGATTGTCTGTGGTTGGTTTGCACCGTCTTGAAAGATTGCGTTCGAAAACATCTTAAAAGGGTTACTGGTATATTACGGTTTTTGAAAATTGAATGTAATATATTATATAATGTAATTTCCTAACAGAATTGAGATTAAGAATGAGTTCAAAAACGAATTATGTATTATATGCGTAAGTACAATGTCATAAATATGAAAATACAGCACTGTCTCACAACATACATTTTTGACATACGCTACATTTCTGAACGTAAGTAATGGTAGGTAGGATAGGTGATAACAGCTCACCCGGCAAAAATAAAAGTTTTTTGTTATAATACGGGTTTTTTAACTAATGAAGTCCATTTATTTTATATACTTTGCTTGAATATGAGGTGAATTCAATAATTTCGTAATCTGCTTTATCACCACGGACACCGTAGGCTGCGCTACAGAGTGTGCAGATATATCACCAACAGGGCGTTGATACGACCCCGTAGCATAAAATGATAATGCAATTAACACCTGAAAGAATAAATTATTTGTAAGTTTATTGATTTCATTAACAGTACACATACCCAAGATACAGAATCTAAGACTAAGTAATGGCTAAATCTATTATAATTTGAACAAACTCTAAAATTACCAACCTTCCTTTCAATTGGTAAATCCGACGACCTTGTAGACCCAGTAGCTGCATGAGGTCGCAGTTCATCGCATAAGTTGTGGACTAATTGTTTATTAAGCCTGTATCGCTTAATAAATTCAACATCTCCAATCGCAAAACGGTCACTAAGATCTCGAAGACGCGTCCTCTGAATGTTTGTTTGGTGGTTATCTTGTGACGCATCACTTTCAAGAAACTCGAAGATTATTAACTCATCACACATATTTAATGTTGTAGTAAACAGTATGTGATAAAAACTTAAAACAATTCAGTAAAAGCTACTCGACACCGGCGTAAACTGACTGGTTTGTTTGACACAATTTTTGACATTTGAGCAAGCTAAGAAATTTCAGTTTGGCGGTCATAATACGGGTTTGCCAGCCAATATACGTGCAGAAATCGGTCAAGTGTCACGTGACTGCTAACTGACTGGCAATAAGACGTCATAATACGGATAAACAAGGCAGTTCATTTTAAGGTGTAAATTGACTGGAATTAAGAGATCGTAATACGCCCCCTGGTCAGGTTCTAGAACATTCAATTTCGTTATTCTTTTTGATCGTCATGCCTCCAGAACCTTCCAATAATTTCGTTATTCATTTTTATTTATTCTCCTTCTCGCTCCTTAATTTTTCATTACTTTCACTCAAATATTCCAGAAAGTTCGACAAAACTTCCATCAACTAAAAAACTTCGTGTTTACGGCGGGTCTCGAACTCGGGGTCTCTGTGGTGTAATCCACACGCCTTACCGATTACACCAACTCGTGTTGACAATTCACGACGAAATTTACAATCTCTAGGCAACGTTTGACAACCATCCATTGACGTCATGATGTCAAAGAGTTTTCTGTCACAATATTACAAACTCACCTTTATCATATTATTTCGCTACAGTGAGAACAAGTAGTAGTATCTGAGAAGCAGTAGTCCGGAAAGTTAAAACGAGCTCCCTTCCCCTGTCACCCCGCCTCACACCCCCGCACCGCCTCGTGCTAAAATTTTATATAATTCAATTAAGAACAACGTTGTTGTCGTTTTTAAATATAGCTGTCAAAAATGTAAATATACGTTTTGTATTTGATGGCACCGGGTTGGTACAAACATCATCATCCCGATCGTCGTCTTCACGGTACATCGCAAGCCGTAGGATTATATAAACAGACCGAATAAACTACAAAAATAACGGACGTCTGCGATCCGTCTCATATGACAGTCACAGCGCTCGCTCTCAACCATAATGCGCACGCAGAGCTGTCTGTTTGACGTTCCGAAAGAGTACGACCCAATCGTATGGTCGTCGTACGGTGGGTAGGCGTCGGAGGCATTATGCCTCCCCTAGCAACAGCCTGTGGGTAGAAGAACGGGGAATTGCTGCCTGCATTGCACGAGCTGCTGCTGCGATGGATCGCCAATAGATGGAGGCGACCAGCCACTGCCGAGAGGTCACGAAAGTCGTTTTTGGTCCTCGTGGCTTCTCCCAAAAGGCAGAAGATGGCACGAAAGCTGAGTTTTTTAGTGGGTGCAAGCCCCACATAACCTCACCGTCTCCCCGGGCGGTGTGTGTATGCGTAAGGCATTTTTCTCAGCTGGAAAAAAGGGCAAAGACTAGGCCTCCTGTAACACCACTTACAATGACGAAACACAACGTTTTAATTGTTTCACGCTGGTTTTCTGTTAGGCCGTGATATCATTCTGGCCGAGTCGATCCATTTGTGTCAAAGTATGGCTCTTCCACATTTTTGTGATATTTTTTTTTAATATACTAGTCTCTACTATGCCTACTATCATAGATCTTTTAGTAATAAATAACACATAATTCTATATACAGGTACATATAATAGCGTACGGCGCGTAGCGTTCCACGCGCCCCTCAAAGAGCCAATAGACCACCACAGACGGGGCCCTATAGGGCTAATGTTCAGCCGGGGTGACGGGGTAAGTGCAATGAGTCATCGCGGCCTCGGCCCAGAGCAGGTGAAGGAACAGGGGGCTTTTAGTCAGTAAGAGTCTGACACTCTCTCTCGCCTTACCCTGGGCGGGAAAAGTCATTTGATGATTTTGCCCTGACAAAAAAGGTACCTACATATAATAAGGTAGATGTATATATTCAAATAACATAATATTGAAAGTTATAAGCAATAGTGTACACAAGTTAGTTAATATAGAAACAGCTTAATTACTATGACAAGTGATCTGTTTAACGTAACTGGAGCCGGCGGACGGCGGCCGGCGGCTCGTGGGTTAGGCCGGCCATTACTTAATATATTGCCATTACGCAGAAATCAACCCTGTGACCGCTTATTTTGTTTTCTACTGATTATACCTTTCAAGTTATATTTTCTGCTTAATTTTATGCCTTATCTTATTTATGTACATTAATGATTTCCAGCTTAGCTAAATTTTAATATACCTATGAATATCAATTTGTTTATGTACGTACATAGATATACATATTTGTACATATTTATAGTAATCACTAGATGAAAATAATCTTTATGATGAACAGTTCATTTTTCGAGGTAGGCTACATATCTGTAGGCTATATAATATAACACCATGATCAATGGGAGCTGAGCAGACTGTAACATACTATCACGACATAATTATAGATCCCAACGTTTTATTCCTCCAAGAGTTGGCCAGAGGACCTCATAACGCACCTATTTGTTATCAATGAATCCAATTTATGTAAGAAGACGGCAATTGAACAGTTTTACCTGATGGGAAGCAATTGGCACCTCTCATGGACACCCGCAACAGCCGAGGAGTTACGAGTGCATTGCCGGCCATTTGTGGATTAGGGTTTTGGAGATTTAGGGAAGGGTCTCCGGTAAAAACGCCACACGGCGAAACACAACGCTGTTGTTTTTTACGCCGGTTTTAGATGAGGCCATGGTATCACTCCTGTCGAACCGACCCATTCGTGTCGAAACTTGGCTTTCTTACACTTACATATGAAGTACGAACCGTTTTACTTCTAATTTCTTTTACAAACCGCTAATGACAATGATGGAATATAAACAATATCAAGATTTCAGGATACTCATAGAAAGGCATGCTCCATAGTCGCCATTTCAAATCGTCAGATGACTTCTGACGCCTTACATATCTCTATATCTTACTGACTAAAATCCACTTCACTTGTTTTGCTGCTCCGAGTTGAGGCTGTGGTACCTTATTACTCTTGCTCAACTAGTCGTCTACATTGCCACTCACCAACGGTATACACCAGTTTTTCATTTGCTACGAGCCCTAAGTGTGGTGGACTAAGCCACGCTACGATGCCTACGCGCCGCCTACGCCATGCTACGATTCTAGTCATATATTATTTATAAACTTTTTTTCAGGGGAAACGTAAATTTAATCACAAAATATCAATAATTTTAAGAGACAGATTTTATCACGACCTTATCTACGACCCATAAATACTCTCCCACTTAAAAAGTAAGAAAAGAAATATTTTGTTGTCATTCATCAGCCTCAATAACCAGCTAAGTCTAAATACCCAATTAGACGATTTGCCCGCATGAGTATTGATATCAATACCTAACAATCTTTAAAATCTAAATATACGGAAAAATCCGACATTAATTGGTGCTGGCATTATCAACTTGGGGTATAAGGGGAGTCTTTCATTGTCGGCGACTTAAAAAAATCTAAACACAACCTAACCATCAAAAGTGAGATATGTTGCTTGGCATGTATTTGAATTTCAACCTTACGTGTTTTACGAAAGGTGTATGTTACTCTGTTGTGGCTTTTGTCATAAGATGTTAGTTTTTATGCTCGAGTTGTGGTCGCGTGCATGTAATCCTTTCATTGTAAACATTTATCTAAATAATAATGTGGTTTTTGATTCGACATACCGCTCTACTTGAGATGTACAAAGTTTGCTTAGAATAAGTATCGCTCACGAATTCACAGATGTTGAATGATCCGTGTTTTAATTCTTATATTCAATTAATAAAAAAATATTCCTTTTGATCATAGATGAACTTGGACATTTATTTTGCAACGTATTGTAATCTTATTTTAATGCTTCAAAAAACATATATTTTTCACCAGTATTTTTATACAAGTAGCGTGTGTCTTAGAATTATATGTAATTAGATAGTAATCTACTACTTTAATGCTTAAAACATTTCTGTCTTCTAGTAAATCGAATCGAAGACGCCTTGATTGGTAGTCAAACTTCCGCACACACTACCAAGTCAGTCAGTACAAGTACGATAAATTAATTGTTGTACGATTTATAATTTCTCAATGAAAACATGTGACAATAAAGCGGGGTGCACACCGTACAAGGATAACAAAAGTAAGGGCTGGTACACAACGAAAACAGCCGCGGCGTGACGACACTTCATTATATCGGTATTGAAATGCTACAGTAGTGATGAGCTGATCGGTTGTCGATATACCTTTATTTATATACATATTTGTAACTTCGAAATGGCGGTCGTTAAGCGTGTTTTTGGCGTTGACTTCCAAAGGATACTTGTCATTTTAATATCTAAGAAATTTTTTTTCGGAGACGAGCATATAATTTTTTTATTGTAAACAAATTTGTTGGTAGTTACATAGTGAGATAAAACATTTTTATATTGTTTTGGCTAGTTTTAAGCAGTAATAAGTGGAACTACCAATAGAGTAAAGACTGGATTAAAATAACGCTATAATTAAATCAATGATCCTTTGACATTATCAAAAAAAATAATACACAAGCAAGACCTAGATGTTACTTAAAGTATCGATATAATATCGATGTAATCATACGTAGGTAAATCGAGCAACTTCAGCGCATCACTATTCACTCAATTGCCGTCGCAACAGGGGTGCACAACCCTTCATCGCAGCTTAATTCTATAATTGAGGGTTAAATCTCCGACAGACGGGCAGACTCATTATCACACTATATTTATATCTTAGTAGTTAATCGTACACGGTACACCCAGTGAGTCGTATCTTGATGGCATTTTGTATATTGCACTAATGAAATATTATGTATTTTATTATGACTTTTTCAGATTATTTTAGTGACAAAATGTTTTATTAAGCAGCTTGTATTTATTTAATTAATATCTTAACACTTCTGCCAGTATCCTGTATGTTATGCTAGAATACAATCTATATCTGTGCTAAATTTCTTTAAGATACGTTCTGGAGTTGTTAGGAGAAAGAGTAACAAACATTTATCTTACAAACTTTATAATATTGGTAGGATGATATGGTAGGTGGGATGAGGATAATAGTTTTTTTGCAAATCTTTGCCTTTTTTTAGGAAGTGACTTATACATATATTCTAATAGCTCATACCCCGACGTCGCTCCCATCATTTGACTACCTACCCTACTCTACCTACCGCATTCTACCTACCGTACTCTACCTACCCTACTCTACCTACCCTACCTACCAACCCTAATCTACCTACCCTACTCTAACTTACCTACACTACCTACTCTATCCTTCTTCCAGTATTCTATGTCCTTTTTCCAGTTCTTAGCTACCTCCCTACGAATTTTCAGCCAAATCGGTTGAGCCGTTCTTGAGTTATAAGTAAGTAATAGTGCAACTAACACGACTTCCTTTTTTATACTTATATATATAGATGTTTTGTCTTTTCAGGTCATAAAGTCAGTCTCAAAAAGGTGTCTGTGTAAATTTAATAGCATTCTTCACACAAAATATGGCAAGTTATACATGCCGTTAATTTTGCCGGTAACTTAGGCTACTATGTTTACCATTAGGCACTTCGTAAGCTTTGCCGATAATGTACAGATGAACTGATAAACCGCTGGAAGTCGGTCGCTTCCGAGATGCTGACCTTGGAGTGATTGCATGAGACCTGTGTTCAGTAGTAGACCTATTGGGGCATTATTTAAGAAGAGCAAGTTCTTTTTTTATGGAATAGGTCGGCAAACGAGCAAACGGATTACCTGATGGTAAGCAATCAGCGCCGCCCATGGACACCTGCAACGGAGGAGTTACGAGTGCGTTGCCGACCTTTTAGGGATTAGGGATTTGGAGATTCCGGAATTGAGGAGGGATTGGGAGCGGGGAAGTATTGGGCCTCCGGTAACTTCACTCACACGGCGAAACACAACGCTGTGGTTGTTTCACGCCGGTCTTCTGTGAGGCCGTGGGATCACTCCGGTCGAGCCGACCCATTCGTGCCGAGGCATGGCTCTCCCACACACAAGTCCTCCAATGTCTTCTTTTCATCTTCTTTTACTGACTAAAAAAGCTGTGGACGCAGTATATTGTGCCGACCGATTTGACGATGTTATTGATGATAACTTAAACTAAATAAAATAGTGTTTAAATAAAACTGACATCCTATTCGGACAAGGTCATCATCTTTAGAAAGCGCGGTTAACACAAATACTTTTAAATGAATGTTCACTATTTAAGTTTGGCATTAAATATTGATAATATTTTGGTAGCAGGGGTTGTAATGTTTGGGAATATGTGACAAGTTTACCACCCACAGCGAATATGTATTTTACAAATAAAGTGTATCACTCTCTTGCCACATCTCCAGACGCATTTTGTCATGTAAACAGCATCAGTAATATCTCAATATATTCCATAGCAACAAAAAAATATTAAAATAATAAATCAAAGCATGTAAAAAGTCGTACTACATAACAAATCGAATACATCAGAAAGCAACAATCGTAATAATCTCGATTTTAATCGAACGAACCGGGCGCGAACGAATTATACGTTTATACTTGTAATTTCAATCACAAAATTAATTCACTCGTCGCCCGCCTTAAATAAGTGCTGGGGCCGCCCAATCGATAAGTTGAGGCAGGTTGGGCGGGCGGGCGTTTGTGGTAAATAACGTTTTGGGCGGCGCCGCATTGGTCCGTTGTGTCGTGGGCGGGAGCTGGCAGGGGCGTGGTGCGATTGGTCCGTGCTCGCCGTGCTCGGGGAGGACAGTCTCGTGCATACTGCTGACGTGCGCGGTATAGTGCATCGGGTGGTCATGGTGTGATTT